CAGCTCGTCCACGCCCCAGTACTCCAGGTCGTCGCTGAACGCCAGCACGCACATCTCGTCGACCAGATGCAGTTTTCCCGTCCTATAGAAGTTTAGTACCGAGCTGAAAGATTTTGGGTGCCGGTCGAAGAAGTACTCGTTGTCGGCCAGCGAGTAATCGTCGCACAGTTCCGCGATCGCCTCGTGCGTGTTGCAGTCCCTCAGCCGGCCTAACCGGGTGTGCGGCAACCGTTCCAGCGTGCGCCACAATATCTCGTGCTTGACGCCACCTACGTTTATACACACCCTGCGGTTGAGCGCCTTGGACCGCATGATCATGAACGGCTCGGGCGGCAGCGACGACAGGGACCGGCTGTGCAGCCTCCGGTACAGCTCCTGCACCTGCGCCGGCGCGGACGGTGGTGGTTGCTTGGTGCCCGCGAATCCAATCTCCTTCTGGCCGTCTGGCTGCGCGGTGACCGCCGCGGCCGCCGCGGTCCACCGTACGGCCGCGCCGATCGGTGGTAACCGTGGGCCGCCGCCGCCGCAGCCGTTGGTTTCGAATCCGGTGACCGCATCGCGTTCCGCGGCCATCAACCGGACGCCGGACCGTCGTCGACCGTCAATCTCTCGCCACCCATTCGTCTGCGCAAAAAAACAACGTGAACCGTTAACGTGGCTAAGGGTACTAACCGGTAACCGGACACAAATACGTGTACGGTGTAACTACGAATCGCAGCCGAACGATAATGTACATTATTTCGATGCATCAATATAGTTTTACGATCAGCATTGTGCACGCGTGAGTAAAAATCACGTTGAACCAAGACTAAGGAGGTTAAAGGGTAAAAAAATACATATTTTTTTTTCGATTTCCGCTGAACTGTACTTTTTACGTTAAAAGGCGCAACACCAAGTAATATTTCTACGATATCGGGATTATTGATAACATCGCGTCACCGCACGTCGTTGATAGAATTCGTATAAATAAGAATATTAGACCGAAAATTTTCGCGGCACTAGACTGGATATTAACCCTGTGCAAAACTATTGATCATCGTGAACTTTGTCACAGTCGCATCGCCACGCGAGTTCTTATTCATTACCATTACTAGTAAGTTTTACATGGCAGTTGACTATTTGTAATTTAATTATCGTTCAAAGTGTAAATAAATTATCATAACTTATAATTACTAAAAGGGTTTCATTAATAAACTGCCTCTTTCAATTCCGTCAACGTGCTTCGTCGATACATAATTAATATGGTAACAATCGCAATGTCAATGCACATCGATCACTACGACGGATACACATTTCAGATATTATACGCCTAGAGATGTGATGAAATTTACTGGTAATATGTACGTCAAGTTCGGTATGTTATTTACCTATTAGAGTCGTAAATTCTATTCGAATAAATCTTATTCCATTTGTAACGAAGGGGTCATTCGATAACGATAAAAGTAATATTTCCGGTAAAAAATCCCTCGAGAAAATTTACGTAAATTAGTTTTTATCTGTACAACTTACCGGATGAATTTACCTAACTGGCATAATTTAATACGCCTTTTACGGTACATCCCGTGTACTGTGAACTCGTGTTTATTTTGCGGTGAAAAGGTTGCGGAATATTAATACCTTCACAGGAAGACCTGTGTTTTTGTATAGTACAGTTCTACCTCGAAACAAGTATATTACTACGTAATGTGTATAATTTGTATATATTTTATCAATGACTAACGTTAAGTTCTGAATTTTATTAAAGAAAATAAAGATCATTAGTCATGATTTTGTTCACAATTATTTTAATTCCCCTTCGGTTAAGTAAGTAGCGCACGCTGTTTGAGGATTTGAATCATAGGAATTCGTTGGAAATTCTCCTGTACCACTAGTTCAATAGACTTTTTTAATATATTTTTTGAAATTATTTGATACGATCCCATCTCTTTTTCAGATTGAATTAATCGAAACTGGGAATTTATCACTAATGTTCACGATCCCCAGTCTACAAGGCGGTTGAACCCGTAAAAAATATTATGAACAAGTGTTCTGTAAATCGAATACGAATATACGAATAAAGGGTATTCTATTAGAAATTATAAAGTTATACTTATTAAACGGTATTGTAAAAAATGAGATATAACTTTATACTGGATATATTAGATGAATTTAGACAGGCAATTTGGTTATTTTTCCATCCAAATTCGAACATCAAAAACGTGTATGGAAAACACTTATTTTAAAGAATTTTAAAAAACGGGAAAATAAATAAAAATAATTTAAAAATTAATTCTAAATAGGTAAATATAACAAAAATTTAATATAATATATATATATATATATATACGTTATACTTGAATGGAAAATATAAATTTTAGCTGCAGGTAATTTATACTTTTATGATTAAGACAGAGTTACCAAATAACATAACATTATAAACCTTCTAAACTTAACTTCGTTAAAATTATATGGCAAATAAAAATTGTATTTGTGAGGTATAAAACGATTGGTAGTTAAAATGATCTGATTTAAATATGAATTTATGAATTTAGTTGATCCTCGAAACAACCCTTGTTAATTCGTGTGCATTTTTCTTTTTTCTACAAGACGAGAACGTCAAATCGTCGTCAAGAGCTTAAGGATTTACGAAAACCACTTATTTTTTTTTTAAATTTTAACAGTGTTTGTATACAAACGATAAAATACGTCACGATACCATGTATACCATGATACCATGGATGAGTAAACTTAACAAACGATCTCGTGTACACACACAACTCGACTGAATATACGTATTCTTACGGTCAAAGTATTTATCATCGGATCTTGGACGTATAAAGTGCTTATTTTAGTTATCGGAATACAAAAAATTGTTACTGAAATATTATTTTCTCGTGTACATACATGTATGCAATGGCGTATCCAGGGGGAGGTTAGGGGGTTATAACCCCCCCCCCCCCCCCCGAAAATGTTTAGCTTATGTATATTGTCTATTGATTATAATAAAAACACACAAAATTCAAAAAAAATGTAATGTTACATTTTTTATAATCTCCCTAAAAAAAATTCTGGATACGCCACTGCATATATGGTAATATTATTCACATATTCGACAGGCAATGAAGTCACTCACGCAAGAATGAAGTATTACGTGTAGTATGCATTGTACCTGTACGTGTTATGGCTATTGTCTACCGCACAAAATAAAAAGTTAGCAATTGGTCGTTAAACAAATTGGAAATCTTTTTAAACTTTTGCGTAATTACCTGACGTCTCTTGTTGTACAAACGTAAAATACACATTTATTTAATACCTTAACGCTTTATATTAATATTCTTTTAGATAACGCAAACTCGTTCTTATTTATATACGTCGTTCTTTTCTTCCTTAAAAAAGTTATTTTTCCACGGGTACGTTTGCATAAGGTGTAAACAGTTCAGGACAGAATCGTACATAGAAACATTCCATTCTTAGTCAAATTTTCGACTCATGCAGTACACAATATTTATGCCAATGATCGGCCGAGTGTTTCCCGAATTTATATATTTTGTTTGTTTCGAGTTCATTGGTAAAAAATTATGACTCGTTTGCATTCCGAACATTAAAAACAATTATTATTTTATTTTACAAAATATTATATTTTGCCCATGATATACTATGATGATATACCAAATTGTTTGAATTTGGTTTTATTTTTTTTTGTTTCCTTTAAAAATTTAAAACTTTTTAATTGTATGCATTTTGAGTTAATGCAGATTATTGGATTATAGAGCTATTTCTGTCGAAATATTTTCATAGTATGTTTGCCGCAGAGTCATATCGCACAATCTCATCTGAATTGCTAAATACGTAAATGGCACGTTTAAAATGTGTCAAATATATACGAAGTTTCTAAGTGCGTTTCGCGTTTTCTGCTGCCTTTAAAATATACAAATTTATAATACACCATCTAACACGGTTTTGCCACAAATATTATTTTGGTATACAATTGGGATATTTAAATGTAATTATCAGTGATAATGTCGTTTTGTAAGCACTTGAGTTGCGAAAAGAAAAGAAATTTAGGTAACCGGCCGTCCCCCTCAACACGGTTTTTGAGATTGGATCAAATCTAATTTCCGCCCGAGCTGCAGCTGTTATCAGACGTGTTCTGTATTGGATAGGTTTCATCGTAAATACGTCATTATATAAGGGACTTATATAGGGACTAACCGGAGAGACGGACAAAAGAATCTATTGTGCGAATTAACAGTTATAACATTTTTCCAAAATCACCGAGCGACGGCGATAGGCAAGTTTGTTTTTCTGCAGTTTAAAACGGTAAACAAACTCGACGGGAACAAATACTCGACAAGAATATTGAAGTTCTAAGATTTACGTCAATAGGATCAATAATATAAACCTTATAGATGAATAGCTTTTGTTAAATTGATATCGATTTTCACGAAATTAAATTATCGAATTGTTTGTACAAACCATTGCTCTTAACATTGGCCCAGCAAACATTACTACAGAAGGTACACATACCTACACATAAATATATTTATATACGAGTAGATAATGTATATAATAACGTGATGAGTAACTACTTCAAAATACGACCCACCATGGTGTATATCCTCCGCGGTATTACAATGTGAGGATAGCGCCCGAAATCAAGGGGAAATAATCTCCGAAATTCGTACTGTTTATCTTTACGTGAAAAACAAAATGATCGGGCATGATAAAAGATAATAATATTAATATTAAATGATATCATATCATGTATGACCGTCAGAATAACCACATTTCGCACGCCTAAACGTATTACACATATATATTTACATTTAGCGTTTTTTTAGTTTGTAATATGTCACATATAACTACTATTAAACAAAAATGTAACACGCAAAAATCTGATGATGTGTAATATGCTATATGTTACTAATATAAATAATAATGCTCATGAGAAAACGTATTTGTAGCGCTTCACATAGTTAAAAAGATTAATAGCTATAA